CTCCATTTCCAACACAGCCCCARCCCTTTCTCACCCCAGTAGAGGACGAGGTCCTGCCCTCCTAGGCTGCTGTGCTTCACCCTGCAGGCCAGGCCAGCTGCCTCCCCAGCTGCCACATCCAGGGTTGCTTGGAGATACCACGTCTCATCACCATTGGGCAGGATGTCACATCTCTGAGTGCCCAGCTGCTCCTGCTCACCTCGCATCCACATCACCCACACAGGCTGAGGGTAGAATCCAGACACATGGCACACCAGCAGCAGATTGCCTGGTCCAGGGCTAGGCCCACTGGACAGCCAGGCCTCGGGCTTCACTGTATGCAATAAGGGATAAGGAAATCATAAGGTGAGAACTTTGCAACAGAGGTCCCAGGCTTCCTCCAAGGTTCATGCTCCACAAATGTCCACTTCTGGAGGTGAAGTCTCCAGGTAGCTTTGATCCCTTTGTATCACCTTGCCCAGGAGACCCATCCCTGATCTCCTTCCCCTCCCCTGATCCCAGTGCCCTATAAATGCCTCACCTTCCTACTCTAACACCCTGAGCTCATCTGGAGCACACAGCATGTCTCAAACATTGTCTAAATCAATTCTGACCCACAGTCTTGATGTAATTCAACTCATGGAACCCAGCAGGTACTCAGTGATACTGGGTGATATGAACAAATACTCTCACACCTTATCCATCCCTTCTATGTCTTGCTCTTTGTCTGATGCTTAAAAGAAAGCAAACCCTTGGATGGCAAAACCTACTTGAAGCTTAAAAGTAGGATAGATGGAGAGGACAGAAGACTGACCTTGCTTCTCCAGTTCTGACTTCCCTGTCTCTAGGAGGCCATTCAGAAATTGGGGGCAGATGTCATTGAGGAGCCACTGCACTGTTTCCCTTGTCCCATCGTCCTGGTTGAGCACTTTGATGACCAAATCAACCCAATGTGGGGCCTGTGGAGCCGGCTCCCAAGCAGTTCCCTGGAAACTCAGGATATGTTCTCCTTGATATGCTACATGGAGAAAGACGTCCCCAGGGTGCACCTCACAGCCACCAGACAGCTGCAGCTCCATGGGATCTGTGAGAGAAACGTGCAAAACTCAAATGAGGTTTGAAAGGGATGAAGGAGAAGAGACTGGTACTGAGCTTACACGGGGGACCCACAGTGGAAGGAAAAGAGAGTGGGTGGCCTGATGCCTGAAACTGGGGCCCGGCCAGGCAGAAGTGCAAGTCCTCAGAGGGGGAATCTCATCCCACAATGAGACAATCTCATCCCACTCTCTCAGCAGGACTTCCATGTCCATTCTCTCACAGTGGCGCTTGCCCAGGATCCATCCGCTCAACTCACACTCTTTGGACAGCATTTTGGCGAATTCCTGTATGTCCCTGGTGAAGCTGCTTCGAAAAACCCGAAATATATTCTGCAGGTGGACCCACTGCTGGCTG